CTTCCATTCAATTAGCTGATTATATAGAAAGCTGTCTCTGTCCTTAGATTTTGGAAGGCACAGAGTCCTTTAGGCCAGGTGTATTTTAGTGTGTCTAAAGGGACACTTGTGACATGTTTATGGTAGCTGGGGACCACTTTGGGTCTCTAAGAAAACTGAAGATTTTGCTATTGAAGACAAATCTCATCTGTTCACATTTTGCACAGCCCCATACCCATATTTCCCAGATCCTCTCTTCTTTGTCCATACTATAAAAGTATGGGTATCCTTACTTTGTTTGTAGTCTGGTTGAATGAAACTCAAATCAAAAATGATACTCGTGGTCCAAGCTCAGATAGCTCCTTGTTTCTTCCTTCCCTCAGGGCACTAGGAAATACCAGTGTGATTACTGTTCATTAATCGTTGCTCTCATGTTAACAGTCCTACATATGTTCTGACAGCTAAAATTCTTACGTCTCCAGAAATGACCCTTTTCAATGAATTTAATGAAAAAAATTCAGGATGTATGGTAGTCCAGCAGGAGGAGGAATTTTTGTATGGGGGCCTTTTGATTCTTCTATATTTTAGGGTCATAAACTAATATTAAGCAAGTTACTTGTTCCATTTATGGTAAGAATCAGCCCAGCTCTGGATATTTAAATGTTTGGAAAACTACACAAGAATTTTTAAAAAAAACAATAATTTTATAGAAAGGTTCTATGAAAGTTTGTCACAGAATTAGTAATAATAATTAATAAAAATAAATGTCAACTAAGCAAAGCCCCTAGCATCTTGAGTCACGAACTTGAATCTGTGCTCTGCCACTTGCTGATTAACTGACTTTGGGCAAGTTAGGTAACTTCCTTGAGTGTTAATTTTCCCCATCTGTACAATGGGAATCATAGTATTTCACAGGGTAGTGGAGAAGATTAAGCAGAAAATGTATTATAAATCCTTAATACTAAGTAAGGACTCAATCAAGTTTGGTGTTATAGTGATTATCATATGAAACAGAATTGTTGGCAGCCTTGAGAGGCCCCATTCAAGAAATGTCCTGCCTGATGTCATTTGCAGGCATGATAGTGATTGCATGATTTTGAAGTTGTATCATTCTTTAACTAAGAACATTCTTTGCTTAGTTTTAATCTAAACAAATCTCAGTATGGAGAAGTAGACTCCCAGCTACAAACATTCTACTTTTCTATAAATGGCTGTCTTTGACTTACACTCAGTCCTTATGCCAAAGCACTTGGATGTAGAAGGGAAGAAAAAGAGAAGAATCTGTAAAAAACAGGAGTGATGTGGAAAAGCTGAATCTGGGAATACATTTCCAGGAATGACTGGACTGCTTAATTATGCACCACTCCAAGTCTCTCCCTGTATTTTTGGTTCAGTCTTTTATTCAGTGAATATTTATTGCATGCCTATGATGTTCCAAGCTCTTGTTTTTGGCCCTAGGGAAACATCAGTGACCAAAACAGGCTAAGCTCTGCTCTGACTGAGCTTACAGTCTATGCACTCAATAAATCTGGAAACAAAAAAGATAATTTCACATAGTGGTAAGTGCTATACACAAACTAAACCATGGTAATGGGATAGAGAGTGATGAGGAGAAGGGCTAAGAGGACTACTTTGAGCCATCAGCAAAAGTCCCTCTGAGGAGTGGACTTAGGAGCAGAGGCTTGGATGGTGAGAAAGAGGCAGCCCAGTAAAGAACTGAATGATTATTCCAGACAGAGAAAAGAGCAAGTGCAAAAACACTGAGAGTTCCAGGGACAGAAATGCAAGTAGGGGTCTGATGGGCAGATCACAAAAAAGACAATGGTAGATGAGGTTAGAAAGGAAGGCAGAGGCCCAAATGTGTAGAGCTTTCAGGTCAGAGTAACGAATTTGGTTTTATTCAAATTTCAATGGGAATTCATTACAGTATTTTAGTAAATTGATGGAATTGGATTTGTGTTTTAAAAGATTAGCCTAGCTACTGTGTGGAGAATGGATTACAGGGAAGCAAGAGAGTACAGGGACATCAGTGAGCAGGTAGTTGCAGTGGTCCAGTCAAGACAGGCAAAGAGATAAAACGGAAGGTAACATGGGTAGAGATGGTAAGAAGTATTTTGGAGTTACAGCTGTTAAGACTTGGTGCTGTATGTGGTGGGTGAAGGCAAGAGAAGAAATAAGGGATGACTCTTAGATTTTTGGGCCGAGCAACTGCATAGATGGTGGTGCTGTTTATTAAGATGGAGAAGTCTTGGAGAAGAGACACTTTGGGAAGGAAAAACTTCAAATTCTGTTCTGGACACATTAAGATATGATTAGATACCTAAGTGGAGGTGTCCAGTAGGTAGTTGGATAAGCATGTGGTATTTAGGAGTGGGGTCAGAGTTGGAAATACACAGAAGGGAGTCATCAAGATACAGGTAATATTTAAAAAACCATTAGATTGGATGAAATTACCAATTAGAGTGTGTGGATGAAAAGCACTGAGAACTCTAAAGCCGCCCAACACGTGGAGCCCCAGCAGAAAATCAGGAGCCCGAAAAGGAAATAGAGGAGGAGGGGCCAATAACAAAGGAGAAAAAGCCTAGAGAAGAAAATGTTTCAGGAAGGAGAGTATAAAATGCTGCTGAGAGGTCAAGTTAAATGAGATGGGAAAACCGGACACTGGATGGGTCATGGGTGGGCAAGATGGAGGTCAGTGGTGACCTTGATAATGAGTCTTTCTAGTGGAATGGTGGGAATCAAGGCTTGACTAGAATGAGTTTAGGAGAGGTTGGAGATGAAAAGGTGTAGATAACAAGAATAGCCTACTCTAGAATTTGTTTTGCTGCAAAGGAGAACAGAGACATTGAAAGTAGGCAGAAGGGGACTTAAGGTCATGGGAGAGATTTCTTTCTTTTTCTTATGACAGGTGATTATAAAGCAAAGAAATAGTAGTGACAGAAACTGATGTGAAGAGGTGATTGCAGGAACCTATTGCAGACAAGGACCTTAGTTCTTGCATGGAGATGGCAGGCATGGTGAGTCAGTGGTACCCTAGTGAGTTTGGTGATGGGAAAATGAGGTGATTCTCTCTTGATTGCTTTGTTACACTATCTTCAGCTAAATTCATTAGAAAGTAACTGGGATTATAATTGCTTTTATAAATGAAAATTCTTCTGTGAGAATTGATAAAATCATCAGACATCCTACATTAGTATAAATATATTTAATTGGCTTGCTCTCTACTAATACCAAGGAACAGTTATATGAAGGAATGGGACACTGGGGATTTAAAGATGGCTGCAGAAAGTTTAGAGCAACGTAAGGAAGACATGTTCTGAGTTTCAAACAATTGGCTTGCAAGCAAACTTTTGGAATACAATCAATTTTTAAGCTTGTGATTGCCTGCATTTCATAAGAACCAAAGAAACAACTTGCTAATTTAGTGCAGGCTGGTGAACTGAATGAAGTAATTTAGGTGATTTTACATTTGGTTTCTTGTTAATTTATCTCTGTAAACTAGTCTGTGTAATCAGAATGAAGTCCAGGGCTAAATGTCATAATTGTGATTTATATGTTCACACGGACAGTACTGCACACTGTTTTAGAGGGTAGGAAAACATGGTAGAACAAGGAGCCTAAAATTCCTGTTGACATTTTACATACAGATATTCCATTTTATAAGAAAATCTGCTTCACGAAACCTCTAAGTGGCCCCATAGATTCAAAAATATTAGGTTGGTGAACTGTGGATGCTTTCCTTCTGAGTGCCTAGCAAAGAAACTTCCTGGGAACTCAGTTAATGTTTGATAGATAAACAAACAAACAAACAAATAAACACATGAAGAGGAACTGAAAATTATTCCAAGTTATTCTGAAATTATTTGGCTTCAAATGACTTTTGGTCATTTCTTCAAATTGAATATATCCTCAAAGTGCAAATATGTGCCACCAATAAGGATATTCAAAAGAATGTGTCTGAGTGTTGAGAGGTAAATCCCAAAGAGGAGTTCCCGACATTTTTTGCCAAATGGAAGTATCCTTGAAACAGGTGTAACCTCCCAAGTCATTATATTGAAGAGGCTGATCCTTGCTTTGATGTGTATGTTTTGGTGGGCTTCTTAAAAAGAAAATTACGTTACTTTTTGGAGTCAAATATTGTATGGATTTCTCTAGCTCTAAACATTTAGCAGTGACATTTATGATACAGATTAATAACAATCTGACATTTTAGGGAGACTTAAGAAGCTCAGAATTAATACCCAAGATAAATTTTTCTAATTTCAGCATTTGAATTTAGGTGTTTCTGTGAAGTAAAGAAATTCATAACTATGTGAACAGAGTTCCAAATAGAAGCACCAACAAATGCTTTGGGAAGAGGCAGCCTCATTGGGATGCCATGATCAATTCTCAATGTGACTTTTCTGAAGAGAAATACTCGTTTACATGTGTTTCTCCTGGAGCATTTGCTTAGCAAGGAACTTACCTCACTGATTTACAGTCACACTTGATAAAGCCATCTCCACCTTGGAAGATAATGGATAACAAGAAGGCTTTTTTTTTTTTTTTTGCGGGACGCGGGCCTCTCACTGCTGCGGCCTCTCTCGTTGCGGAGCACAGGCTCCGGACGTGCAGGCTCAGCGGCCATGGCTCACGGGCCCAGCCGCTCCGCGGCATGTGGGATCTTCCCGGACCAGGGCACGAACCCGTGTCCCCTGCATCGGCAGGCGGACTCTCAACCACTGCGCCACCAGGGAAGCCCAAGACGGCATATTTTACTCCTACATTCCCACATCTAGTAAACTGAAGTAGGAAGCAATTCATCTGGGAGTTTAATTCAGAGTACCTGTGTTATATCAGTATTTTACCAGCTTGACTGCACTTATATCAATAGATATTAAATAACAAGAAATTTTAAAATTTCCCCAACATGTCTTTTGCACATATATGATTTAAATGATAATACACTCTAAACTAGACATCTTTCTGGTTAATTTAAGTACATAACCCATTTACAGGGTTTATATATTTGTCCAACTTACCTGAACATGCCCTCTGGGGTCATTCGTCCTGCTTGAATTAAATAAGTTCCAAATCGAAAACATGCTGCATAGGCAAAATATACAAAGGCATGGCTGAATGCGTAACAGGTTCCAATGATCTGTGCTTTCTTCAAGGTAGTTCTGAAATGCACAAAATTTACTAGATAATGGGGCATGAGGTATAGTAAGGTCCTTTAAATAAATGTAGAGTAATGAATACAGAAGGTAAGACATGTTATCATTTAGGGGGTATACACTTTTTCTAATTATTAAAGAGAAAATGACGTTTTTTTTCTTTTTTTCTTTCCTTTTTTTTTTTTTTGCGGTACGCGGGCCTCTCACTGTTGTGGCCTCTCCCGTTGCGGAGCTCAGGCTCCGGACGCGCAGGCTCAGCGGCCATGGCTCACGGGCCCAGCCGCTCCCGCGGCATGTGGGATTTTCTGGGACTGGGGCACGAACCCGTGTCCCCTGCATCAGCAGGCAGACTCTCAACCACTGCGCCACCAGGGAAGCCCCGAGAAAATGACTTTTTAACTACTGAGAATTATTATAGAGAAAACAATAAATATAATGATTTTCTCTATAGGTATATGCTCTATAGTTCAATGTAACAAAGCTGCCTCTATGTGTTTTCAAATGAATGGACAAGGTCTGTGAAAGGATAGTTACTGAAAGAGTTAAAGAGATTTTGTTTAAAAATATTTTCTATCCTAATGTTGCGCTAATAGAATAGTGGGAATTAAATGGTGGTACCAACCACAAGCATGAGTGTAAAAGAGTACAAAGCTATCTTTCTGATAAAGTAATACAAAGAGTATCACTAAGTAAATGTGGTAAGGAGGACTAGTTTAAATTAAAAGAATTGATCACATTTGTTGTGCATATATTCATTTTAAAATGTGAACTCTTTATAGAGATTCAATATAAAGGGCTAGGCAATATTATTTTCTTTCTTAAATATGTTATTTCCTCAATCATGTTTCATGGAAATAAGAAAAATATGCACACTTTGTTATAGTTCATGGCAATGTGGGAGGACCTAAAACATATATTCTAAATGTGCTTGCTCTCAACTCCTCTTTCTAGTTTCCTCTTGGTGGAGTCATATAAGGAATTACGCTATGCCATTACTAGGAAAGATCCCAGAGCAAATGAGTCGGCAGGCAAACCACTGGAGTCACCCAGGAGTGCTGCCTTTATAGGAACAAACTATAGTTAACACAGTCAGTATGAATCTACAATCACCTGTGCTGAGTCTGAAGCGTCTCCTCATACATTTGCCCGAAGGCTTTTTCTCTTGTTAACGACACTGTAGTGCGTATATTCTCCACAGTTTCAGTTGCTGTATTATAAAACAAGATAATAAAATAGAGAAATAAAATTAGTAATGGCTAAACTTCTGGTTGTGAGTTACAGTCACAACGGGGACATATTAAGTACATTAAGTCAATAAGTTTTTCTGATGAGTTTTCTTAGCTTCTTTTTTTTCCTTCCTCAAAATAAGACAGGAAAATAATATATTAGGATAATAAGCTCAAGGAAAATTCCTTTTGAAAAGATTTAGTCCACTGGTCTAAATTTAGCCCTCTTTAAGTCTTCATTGAGTTTCTATTTAAACTAGTTCCATAAGCAGAGGGATCAAACATTAGTGAGCATTATGTCCGTATGTAATTATGCAAAGGAGCTGTCCTATGAATTATGAGCTCATTTAAGAAGAAGACAGAAGAGAGAATCAAGTAAATAATTATTTTATTCTAGCACAGAAATGCAAATAGCAACCAAAGTTCTCAGGAACACTGCTGTAAAGTAACATGGAGTGTGGCTTCTGAATTCTGTATAAGATATTATATAGCTGTTTTTCATTTTGATGTCTGTGAACTTAAAAAGATATTTAGGTCAAATGTAATGCTTCTTCATAGTTATATAGTTTTCAAAAAGAAGGGCGATCAAAAATGGAGGAGACTTTTGGCTCAGAATAACTTCTTGGACATGAGAACACATGCTGACTTGAAAGAGAAACTTTCTGCTTCCACATTCTCTTTCCAGGCTGGCAGAGTGGACTGTGGGACAGATGAAGACCTAGGTGGATACCCAAGGTTGTTTGAAGGAGAACTTGGGTTACGGGAGAGAACTGGATATGTAGACCATGGTCAGGACACCTGGATTCTGCTCTAAATTCTCATAATTTCAAAATGAACTCAAAGAAATCTCCATCTGTAACATTTTGTAGTGCATGAGGAAAATTGATGAGAATGCTGAAATCTTGAGGAAAACAAAAAGAAACGAATGAAAAAGTCTTGTGATCATTTTTCACAATAAAGGAAGGACTGAAAACAGAACCTTAGAAAACAGTCCTTTTTTAAAAACTAATATGGTCATTTTATTTATTTTTTACTAATATGTTCATTTAAAACCTGAAAAATAAAACATTTGATGATTTTTCCAAATCTACACATGCAATCAAAGAAGGACCAATATGTTTTATTGGTCCATATTCTAAGTTTTGGTGTTTGGTAAAGTGACTGATTGAAAAGCTAGTGGGAAAGGACACATTGCTTATTTGATTGCAGTTATTGATTGTATACTCTGAGGTTACTTTAATAATACA